TCCATATCCATTTTTAAACAAAATTGACAGAAGGCCAAGTAAGGGGCTGAAATATCGAATAATCTTGGTCTGACAACATTTTGTACCAACTTGTCCCCTAAAAATATTGATAAAATGTAATAAATTATAAATATTATTAAACTATATAATATATAATAAATAATCTAATATCTGAAGACTGCTTTAAACTTGAATATAAGCCAATGGTTAAATGGAAAGACAAGTAGAGAATTAGTGCGAAAGAACGATAAAGGTTTGTGGACAGGATCAACAATGCAAGATTGGATCAAGAAGAAAATATTATCCTAAGTGCTCTACATGCAATCTACATGTTCGGATGTGCCTGTGCCTGTTTGCGTGTGTGTACATGGGCGCATGTGAGGGACGAGGACAATCGGAACGAGAGAGCAGATCGATGAATCATGAGGGCTTAACCGGCCAGAAAAAGCAATCCTAGCAATAGGAAGGTTAACGCCCACTAGGAAATGTTGGTGAGCCCCACAAATGCCTCGTCTTCTAGATATAACTCATTCTAATGATGGCTGAGCAAGCCATTCTTCACCTAAATACTTATCAGTTCAACACTAATTCAGCTAATCAATCATTTAGAAATGAGTAAATAAACTGGTAAGTCAATCGGCCCTTCACTATAACAACATAACCATCAATCATTCTGATAACATACTTATAAAAAATGATTTCAGACTACGCCAAGTCATTCACTCTCATTCGATGTGATTTATTCCCATGGGCAAAAAGGGCGCCAGCACTCATGATAGGCTCGGGGGGTTTCGACTCAACTATGTCTTATCAAAGGTCATAGAAGACTCTTATTTAGATTGACACGTTCAGCTCAGCATGTCAAATGTTAACCTATTCACTTTGGTTCGTAATGCCCCACAAATGGTTGATGCAGGGAATAAATATAGGTTCTAACGAGGGAGAATTTCTGGCTCTTTGGCATACCAAAACTTATGTTGAAGAGCTGTCGGGACATCAATTCACGCTGCTTGGTAAAAAAGAATTTTGATACAAACAGTTGGTGAAACGCGTTGGTGCGTGCAAGTATTAATTCAATGAGGAGATGAATATTCTATTTTTCCTAGGCTAGCAAGTGTAATGAGCCAGACAGCCAGAAATAGCTTTAACCAAAAGCCATAGTCAGTTTAAGTTGCTTGAGCTGATGAAGGACTGGTAGTTGAATTTTCTCACAATCCTATCAGTAGGCCCCATGTAACCATTAAATTTCACATAGCCTTGCTTCCCAAAAGTTATTCTCATCCGGCAGTGAGGTCGGGGTGGGGTCAAAAGTTCAGTCAACTTTGGATGAGAATAGCTTTTGAGAAACAAGGCTATGTAAGATTCAAGGGTAACATGGAGTCTACCCATATGATTGTGGGAAAACTCAACTAACAGTCCTATGATGTCTAGGGCTCTTATCTAAGATGTACGGCTTATATAGAAATCCTAGTCAATACGAAGATAACTCTTGACAACTTGGCTCTTCAATTACAACTGGGATATTGAATAACTGATTGGACGCCGGATAGATTGTTCGAAGGGTTTAGTCATGCTAAAATATGAAAATTTTATAAAACGAAGTATTAAATGCTAAATATATATATACATATATATAATGTTTGGGAAGAACAGGAAAAAGGTGCTACTGGTTATAGCACGCCCCAAAACTGAATATTTTTGGTTCACGCCATTATACTTTCTTACCAGATGACGGACCCCAAGGTGGGCTAATGATATCAGTTATGGTTGTATGTTGGCTCTAGGTGGAGCCTGTACCCTTTTGTCAACTGAAAGCTGGCCAAGGTGGTACTCAACGAGCAAACTCCTCGTGAAGTGAAATTGGCTTTTAAGCAAATGAAAAAGCCTCTTGGATTGATGGTACTTATTGGTCAGCTGTGGTTTAATCACTATTTCTAAAAAGCGAACCAAAATGGTGCCGACAGGAGACAACATTGCTAGCTGTAATTAGGGCACCGCTAAAAGATGATAATATTTGACAAAAAGAAGAGAGAGGACCAATTATAATGGTTTAAAAGTCAAAAAACCGAGACCCATGCAAGTCAATACATGTCTAGTGATTGGAAGATGGTTGAATCATAAGGATATACTTCTAAACTCTCTATCACTTGCTCAAATGTCATTAAGTGAATAATCAAAAAGAAACCCTTAACAAACAATAGGTCACAAGTGGGTTGACCTCGTTTTCACAACTTGGTCTTGTTGTCAGGGCGACTCAGTAGAATGCACCTAGTCCGAGGTCGTCTGCCATAGTAGTTGTCATGATTCCCAGCATCAGACAGTAGACTTGGTACATTATCAAACGTTTCGCCGGCATCGTAGTCGATGTTTGAGAATGTACCAAGGCCACTGTCTGGTGCTGGGAATCATGAGAACTATTATAGCAGACGACCTCGGACTAGGTGCGTTCTACTAAGTCGCCCTGACAACAAGACCAAGTTGTGACAACGAGGTCAACCAACTTCTATAAATCGAAAGGAGACTGCGACCATACCAGAGGCCACAACATCTTGGTCTTCATATCTTCAAAAGGTTGTAAGTTCAAAGTCAGACTTATGTCATTGTAAGTGAAGTGCATAGATTAGATTTGGAAAATAAAAGACTTAAAAAAACTTGAGCCGATGGGTTCGGGAATAATGGAAATCATTCGTATGACTCAAGTGATGAAGCCATCAAAAGTCAGTTAATGTAGCAGCAAGTTTGGAGCTACTGGCCCGATCTGATATTTAAAGAGAGAGAAAAAGGAAGCCCAGCTCCTGCGACTAGACCACGAAATTAACAAAAGAAGAGCCAAGTTAAACGAGAATTCTGGTCGGTGGCTATATCCGGTCTATAATTTAAGCTGGATGAATGTAAAACCAAGTCGTAACGGTTAAGGGTGGTGCTTTTTGGAATTAATATTGCGTGGCCCCAACATCTGCATCATCAGCATCCCCAGCTCGAACCAACTGACCCTTCTTCTTAACATATTCAAATCTTTATCACAGTCCGCCGGGAGGTTGACTAAAAATGTGGAGGAAGTCCCGTCTCCATGCGCCTGATAGTCAGATTTCACTACCCTTAAACTATAATGGGGCATTCTAAAAGACGAATCAAACAATTAATGTTTCAAAGAGAAGTCTTGTAACTATCTTATTCTTATGGCTCCACTGGGAGTAGTCGCTAAATAGATCGGGCCTCTCCGTTCATATCTGCCGTTGCCAGTGGTTTCTATGCAGCTTGTATCCACTTTAAATGAGATTTGATGTACAACACAATATTATTTCAAATAACTTGTTAGGAGTGCGTTTATTTGCCACTATTTTTAAATACGAAAAGCCACCTGCAAATTCAATTGCTCGTAAAATTCTATAAAACCTGAATAATTCCGGCCATCAGGCCTATATGCCAGCAGGCATGGCGCCCATGAACCATCTAGAAGTATTTAAAACTGGAAGCATCCTCAGTCTACGCGCATACTCCAGCATACCTCACTGGAAAAATGGGGGCAGGCGTGAAGCAAGCAACATATACGTCCAAATACACTATTACGGAAATATTTATTTCTTGCAAAAGTTGTATTCAAAAAGGCAAGTAGAATGTGTGAAATCTGTCAAATTACGATATTAATTCATTTTTTATTGAAGCGACTCCCTCTAGACCACTTTAAGATAATAATTAAGGGCATTCAACTAATTTGATGCGCCTGCTGTGCTGATAGATATTTTGTGAAAGTGGAACATTGAAAAGTCAGTATAGACATTTCAGTACAAAGTATTCCCATTTCATAAGGGAACATAATTTGGAGGGAATTGCCTATATAGACCACTAGAAGACGTTGGGAGTCGCTACACAATCATCTACCCAGAGTACAACAATTTTCTCTTCGATAATGAAGCAAAAATGGACTTTCGTCTTCAAAACTACAAACTTTTTTAGAGAGGAAAATAAGGTACAATCTTCCAAAACAACCATGAGAGGCAAATGAAATTCAAAAACAATAACGAGCCTGACGCAAATCGAGGACGGTTATGAAAGTGGAAGCAAGTAAATAAAAAAATGAGTCTGAAATAAGACACTTGGCAAAGAAATAATGGATATTTCGGTTCTAGAATATGCAGGATCGATGCAAAATATGAAATATGACTGTGATGCTCTTTATAAACAAACAAAATCAAAACCTGTCAGGGATATGAAGGCATTGGGTGTGGAGTGGCAATGAAGGATAAAAGTACTTAGTATGATGAAATTTGTAAACATGTAGGTTGTCGATACTGATAGGGATGAAAATAATAAGAATGATAAGGGTGACTTAAATTATTAGGATAAAAATGCGGTGGTGGTGACAGAGTTGTAGTGATAGAGGGGCACTAACTAAGGAGTATAAAGAACAAATGCATAAATGTGAGTCAAATTTGGCTAATAATAAAAGCACGAAAAATTATGCATTCACACATTTTTAAATTGTTTAAAAGTTCGCATGCTACGGAAGAGTATGAGTAATTGCAGAAAATTTTTTATTTTCCCACCTAATTTCTCAGTTGGATGTACCCAAAAAAGGCCATTCTCATTCAGAATGGAATGCAGCTTCGAACTCGACTGGCTTTTACCAACATCCCCAAACGGATCCAGAGCGGATTCAACGAAACTGCCTAACTGATCGGAAATATCACTAACCGAAATTTTTAATACTTGCGCTCCTTATAGTATTTTAGTTGTGGCCACAACGAATAGTGGCCTATACCTTGATAATATATTCATCCATACATCCAGCCAAAAGTGTGTAGCCGACCGAAAAAATGCCTTCGATAAATCTCTTAAGATAACATTGTTGGGGAGATTCGTAGGTCGATCTCACCAGAAGACGACGGCTGATTAAGTTTCACGAAAATATTGGGGTCTCAAAAGGAAATTAGTGAATTAGAACCCTAAAGATTTAAATAATATAGATATACTACTAAATTAATAATTTAAATAGTCTGTTATAAATGAAAAAGAGTACCCTTGAGGATGCCTTCGGTCGCTTCAATCGGATCTCCATCTGCCCAACGCAAACGTTTTGTCTGGCTGCATACTTTGATGGATCCAACGTTATTATATTCAGAGGGTAAAATACATTTTGACAGAACTTTCCTCGAACGATTTATTTCCTGAAAAGATGAGCTGTGCCTTGTCTGTGGACTCATCTCTGACTCGAAACCACTCTCCCTTCCACACACACAAGCGCTTCGAGGCTTTAGAACGGGAGAAAGAGCCTAAAATAAAATGAATACATATATGAGGTCAGAATATCTAGTGTGAAAATCAAGATTGAGAATTTTCTGTATCAAAACCCATTCAATAAAAATATATTAATGTGGTAGACTGGAATAGCAAAGGTAAGTTTAACTCATCTACAATCCCAGTGGGGCCATGAGTTGTAGAGGGCTTATCTTTCCTTCAAAATCACGACTACCCTGTCACTCCTTAGAATTTGTGGTTGTTCGTCCAAATGTTATCGTTGTTGCTTGATAAGCATTACTCGCTTCTAATCCAGTCCGGGAAGCTGATGAGATCTGAGCGAGGTCGAAACCGTAGTCTAGCCCAGACAAACCGAAATGCACTGGCAGTAAAGCCTTATACTTAATTCACTGTGAAATATTTGGCATCATTTTAAAGCGACCTGAGGTGACTCACTTTTCAATCTTAAAAGTGAGCGCATTATTTCGTTTGGATGCTGCGTTTCGCCATGGACACAAGGCGATTGCATGTGGACACAGTTCTTCAGCACCTTTAATGTCTTTAACATCAGAAAAGGATAAGAAATCACCTTTAAAGATACCCAAATGGATGTAATGATGGTAGCTTATCACTTAGAGAATGAATTGAATAAAATGCTCAATTTTTATATGAATTTCGCTGTTCCACTAAGCCAGAGAGAATTTCGTTTTGATCTTACAGCAATCCGAGAAAGCTCAGGACTAGTGTTATTGGCCCACATTGTCGAGCATAATGGCAAATACACCATGGGAATATGCTCACAAAAGATAGGAAGAGATAAAATTGCTTCACATTGAAAACCAAGCCAAACGACTAAGTCAATGGCGCTAAGGGACAAATTGGTTGCCTCTCGATCCGGTTGGGCACCCAGTTGTGGTAGGTGATGATGATGGGCTTTGTTCAAAATCGAGTAAGAAAGATTACGAGAGCTTTGAGACATCGATACGAAGAGTAAATGTGTCTCGATGAATCCATTGAGATAACATTGCTGAAAAGACTTTTATTTCGTATGAGCCTGCATGGAAAAATTCGTGTGACTACATACAGTCTGATCCCTGGTATTTGTGACTAAAAGAGCCTCTAGCATGTTAAATAGCAATTTTTTACTGCTTCAATAACTTGGATTATTTTTAAAAAATTGGTGACTAAGTTGATAAAATGCAATATATTTGGGCTAAACAGTTCTTTGATAAACTTACGGGACTGAAGGAAAAATTGCAGGGTTCATGGCGTCGTCTAAAATTCTTAACCACAGATAAGCTCTGATAAGGGTTGGGCTTTACTTATTAAACTGGAAGTAACATTCGATAAAAATAAACAATGCCAGCTTATTTTTGAATATCTGGACCTATAAGGTCAAAAACGTGGTTGGTATGAGAGCAAAATGTATTTAATTCAATATTTTCACAGACGTTTAATTAGGTTAAAGCCTGATATCGTTCATTTTATCGAAACGTATGACATTATAATAAAATGCATTTAAAAACGTATATCATGATTAGAACATATAGGTCCTGATCCAAATTCACGTACAACTTTAGAGTTAACTGCTCTTCAAGCAAATTAGAAAAGGGGTAACAGAGTGAAATAGAGTTACACAATAAAAATTGGTAAGTTATTTGCAAAAATCATGCTTGAACTTACACTAAAACTGGTATCTTCTTCATCTGGATCGAGTTCATTACTGTAGTCAATCGAGGCGGAAGTCAACTGGCCATCGGTGGAAAACAGCGGGCTGTCACCAAGAGAGATTTTAGAGGTCAGAGTCATAGCGATTTGGGCTACTTCATCCTTTTCGTCCATTTTTTCCTCTGCAATATGTGCAAGCACTGATTCTCCCGCATATCTGTGAAGTCCCGATTCATGAAGTTTTGAGACGGGCGAAAGTAGAGAAACATCATGTTCCTCTAGAGCCCAGCAGGGTGATTGAACGCCAACGGCACGCCTTGTATTATTTAGGCTTGGTTGAAGCATGCTACTGGTACTCCCGTCAAAAGTAGGCTGGTTAGATTTATTATCAATTTTCTTTGATTGATCAAGAAAAATGGTCATTTCAAGGAGATGAAGCCAGAGACGATGGCACTTCGCATCTAGTCTAATGGTGGACTCGCGCAGCAAATTTATCTCTTTCAGATGAAAAGATGCATTCAGCTGCTCCGCAGAGCACAGACGTTCTAGCAAACAGCTAGCAGCATACAGCTTCCTTGATTGCTGTTCAATACCTTTCAGAAAGTTCTAGAGGTAAAAACATAAAAAAATATATAGCCAAACTCGCCAAATAATAAAATGAATGTATTCAATTTAAGTAATCAGCAATAAAAGGATTTCCAATCGAATTGAACATTACGAATTCAATAATCTAACGAAAACTTCCTAAATAAGGTCAAAGTGAAAAACTCACATAAATTAAACAAAATCAAAGTCAAAATGAGCCTTTAAAAATGTTCTCGCCCAATCACATCGTATACATATATGCATTATTGGCGTATGAAAGATGATTTTATTATGATTGTGGGCAGTATTTGCAACAAATAAAAGAGGGCGGTTGTAGTAGTATTATCATAAACCGAAATTTGGGTTAACTTTTCGAGGAGTCACTTGGGCGTATATCAAAGATTAGACATTACTCAAGATTAGTCCAGAATTTCCTGATTGCTTGAATTAAATATAATTGCATAATTTTTAATAGCAAGCTGGTTGAGGACAAACTAAACTGATAATTGCGCTCATGAAGCAAACCGTGGTCAGTGTTGGCTCAGCGGCAGGTGACTTATTGTAAGCCGAAGTGACTATCGGGGACTAGAGCAATAAGTCTCCAACAGTCTGCCAAGCCAAGAACCTACTTTCCAACATAATTTTTAAAAAGTGAGGCAGAATAACAAAAAACATCTTACTTGATACTGGCCAGCTTTAGTCAGACGCTCTGTCTGCCCAAATGTGCAGAGGACAGACATCCAGAATTTACTGTCAGGCAGCTCTGAAAGGGAATAAAATACATGTAAGAGATTAAAAATCAGGTTTGAAATGTGAAATAAAGTGCAAATTTCCCAGCCGTCTATTTCGATAAAGAGTGCATTATAACTACACTACTCACAGCCCGTGTTGCCAAAATCCCTGAATTCCCAGATGATGCTAGCTTAAAATATTAAGCTCCAGCTTAAGGGGGATGTTGGCCTTGAAGCTACTAGACAAAGGATAAGTTCAATAAAAAATGATTGAAAGGAGGAAAAAAGTGTATAAAGCATCATGAGGAAGATAGAAAATGAAAAGAGACTGAAACCAAGTTGATGGATAGGCTTTACCAGGAATTAGCATTTGGGAATGGTAAAAGACAGCAAATGAATCAGATCATGTGACAATTTCGTCTCTTCGTGGCAACACTCAGTACGCCATAGAATAAGCATGTAAAAGTTAGCAAATGAACGTTTTATACATTTACTCCATTTGGACTAAGCTCATTGACAAGTTTATCGATAAATATTATTATTATCATTAACCTATTCTTTAATTCATTAATCACGATATGCTAAATTACGCGAACTGGCTTAGGTCTTCTTTCTTTAATCGTAAGCTATATATAGCACTAAAGGTTGGTTCTAGAAGAAAAGCCTTGGATACAAACTGAAATTGGACTTAGAGGACCTGTCCCCTGGGGCCAACTTGGGTCACTAGACTACAACGAAATTCGCTTGCTCAACGGATTTTTGAGGGACATTAATGAAAATATATCGTTTGCGCCTTCATTAGCTATGCAAATGTTTAACGAAAAGGAGGTATTAAGAAAGCTTTTGAAATCCGGCCTTTAATATTTATTATTAGAGGGAATTACCATGATGCTAATTTTTCTATCCGCATGAT